CCTTCGTCTTCCACCGCGGCCGCGTCGGCAAGAACGTGCGGCAGCTCATCACTGACATGCGGAAGGTGATGGAGCCCTACACTGCCAGGGCCCTCAAGGTGAGCTCGGGGACGATCCTCCTCTACCTGGGGCACAGGCCGGATCCTGCGCCATCCCCAGGCTAAAGCGGAGCCCTCCAGCCATTTGGCATGGTGGGGATCTCAAGGGCTTGGCCGCTCTGCGTCGCAGGTGCGGAAGAACAACTCCCTGAAGGATTTCGTGGCCGTGGCCGGGCCGCTGGGGGTGACGCATTTCTTGGTCTTCAGCAAATCGTCCTCCAGCATCAACTTTGTGAGTAGTGCAATCCCCCACTGCCTCTGCCTCTGCTCACCCCAAAGCTCCTGGGGTTTGGGGGGCCCCTCCGCAGCGGCCGTGCTCCCCCTCGCACCCTCGCACCGGCACCTTTTGGGGGGTGTTTCCACCCCCTCTGTGGACGCAGATGATGACAAAATCCTGTTGAGTTCATGCTGTGATTCTACCCAAAGTAAACGCACTGATGCGTCTGTGCCCGGGGCGGGGGGAAGTCGGTCCTGGTGGCGGCAGTGGTGGCACCGCCGACGGCTTCCCCCGGTGCTGAGCACCGCTCCTCTCACCCCCACAGAAGCTTTTCCGGCTGCCGGGTGGCCCAACGCTGACATTCAAGGTGATGCAGGTGGGTGCTCACGAAAGCCCACCCTTCCCCGCTGGCGCGAGGGGGAGCATCTCACCCCCTCCTCATCCTCGTGTGTGTCCCCCCCTCGCCGCCAGTACTCGCTGATCAAGGACGTGGTCTCGTCCCTCAAGCGGCACCGCATGCACGAGCAGCAGTTCACCCACCACCCGCTGCTGGTCCTCAGCAATTTCGGTCTCCAGCAGATCCAGGTCAAGCTGATGGCCAGCATGTTCCAGAACATGTTCCCCTCCATCAACGTCCACAGGGTAAGCGAAGAGGGGAGGCTCTCCCCTGTCCCACCTCCTCCTGCGTTGCTCAGGATTAAATTCTGGGGCCAGTTCCGTTCAATGTATTTATCAATGATCTGGACAAAGGAGTTGAATGCACCATGAGCAAGTTTGCCGACGATACCAAACCGGGAGGTGCCGTTGGCTCATCTTAAGGGACAAGTTGCCTTGCAGAGGGATCTAGACAGATGGGAGCACTGGGCATTGATTAGCGGGATGAAATTTAGTGAGTCCAAATGCCGGATTCTGCACCTGGACAATGCCCTTAACGACGTGCTTTAACTTTTGGTCAGCCCTGAATTGGTCAGGCAGTTGGACTAGATGATCATTGTAGGTTCCTTCCAACTGAAGTCCTCTCTTCTCTTTTCTCTTCTCCTCTTCCCCCTCCTTCCACAGGTCAACCTCAACAGCATCAAGAGGTGTTTACTCATCAGCTATGACACAGAGACACAGCTCCTCAATTTCAGGCATTAGTGAGTGTTGCGTCCCTGATTTTAAGGAGGGCCCCTGCACCCCGTGTCCCAGCGCTGACCTCTTTCTCCTCCTCCTCCTCGCAGCAGTGTGAAGGTTGTGCCCGTGGGCGTGAGCAAAGGCCTGAAGAAGCTGCTGCAGGAGAAGTTCCCCAATATGAGCCGCCTGGAAGACATCAGCGAGCTGCTGGTGAAGTGTGTGGCGGGTCACCGAGGGGGACAAGGGTCCCAGAGGTGCCTTCCGCCCTGTCCCCAAATGCGTTCCTCTCCCCTGGCAGAGACGTAAACCTCTCGGAGAGCGAGGCCGAGCAGGACGGGACCCATAATGTCCTGGAGCTGCCGCAGGCGTACGCTGGCCGAGGCAACATGAAGGCACAGCAGAGTGCCGTGCGCCTCACCGAGGTCTGTGACAGCAGCAACGCCGCCATCGCCCCGGGGATGCGATCAAGCCTGACTGGTGCTCTCCGCATCCCCTCTTTCCCATAGATTGGACCCCGCATGACCCTGCAGCTCATCAAGGTGGAGGAGGGCCTAGCGCAGGGCAACGTGCTCTACCACAGCTTCAGTAAGTGCCGCAAAACGCCGTCTGCGGTAACCTGCCGGCATAGGGGTGAGGGCTGGGGCGTTTCATCCCTTTCCCCGTGTGTTTTAAGTCCACAAGACGGAGGCGGAGGTGAAGGAGATCCTGGTGCGGAAGGAGGCGAAGCTGCAGCTGAAGGCGGAGCGGCGGCAGAAGCAGGAGGCAGACGTGGAGCGCAAGCGGCAGCAGCGTGAGGCTCACAGGTGAGGGCACCGTGGCAGCGGCGGGGTCCGGCAGCGGCAGGGCAGCGGCTGACACCATGGTGGCACCGCAGGAAGAAGAGCCTGGTGGGGATCCGGAGGAAACGGCAGCAGGACGGTGACAGCGACGCCGAGGATCCTGGTGCGCCAGAGCAGCAGGATGCAGCCGAGCAGTCAGAGGAGAGCGATGCTGAGTATTATCGGCAGGAGGTGGGCGAGGAGCCGGACAAAGGTGAGTCTGGAGGCAACTGAGCCCACCCTGTCCCCTCCTCCCACTGATTGTGGCTGATGATGCAAAAACCTTGAGCTCTCCGTGATCTCGGTTCAAAGTAAACGAACTGACACGTCCGTCAGACCCAACGCTGCGTACCCGTCACCCCTTTTTCGCTGAAGCCCTTTTTATCTATTTCACCCCCAAGATCTGTTCCCTGACCGCACCAAGAGGAAGCGAAGCTCCTCAGGCGCTGCCCCGCTACGAAAGCGACGACGGCAAAGCCAGCTGGAGCATCCCGCCACCCCCAGCCCTCGCCCCACGGCGCTGGGGAAGCGGCAGAAGGGAGAGCCGGTGCCGAGGGACTCACGGCACCATGGTGGGGCCAGGCAGGGGGTGGCCGGCCGAAAGCTGCACCGAGGAACCAAGCACCCAGCCCGGGAGGGGACCGGTGCCAGCTCCGGCCGTGCTACCTCGAGGCTGAAGGGGCGAGGGAAGCTGCTGACAAAGGGGAAGACGATTTTCCAGCAACCCAGACGTGCCAAGAAGGGGAAGCGCTGAGGCACCAGCTGCCAGCCACGCACCGAGACTGTGGGGGGAAGAGGAAACGGCCCGTCCCCCATTCCTGGCTCCTGTGCAATACAGTGCTTAGAACAACCCTCTGTGGCTCTGCTGGGTTTTGGGGGTGGAAAATCATAGAATCATAGAATCGTTTAGGTTGGAAAAGACCTTTAAGATCATCCAGTCCAACCATTAACGTACACTACCAAGTCTACTCTAAGCCAATCGATGGTAGACTAAAGACTAAAATGGGGTCCCCTGGGCTCTAACGGCGTCCCCCAACCCAGGGTGGCTCTGTGCCACCCCCATGTCAGGCAGAGCAAGCAGCCCCTGCCCGACGCAGCAGGAAGGAGGCAGGAATGTGCAGTTCCTTCCCCCTTCGTGGCCAAGACAGAAAGCAGCTGCCAGGTTGCTGCCCTTCAGAAGAGGAAGTGCCGTTCCCTGCCTGCAACCGCCCCTGCCAGGCTCTTGCCCCCACTGTCCCCAAAACCGGGCAGGATGTGACTCTCTGGTGACCCCGTGACTGCCACCAAGAAGGGAGGGACAAGAGAGGAGGGAGGTGAGCGCGGACCCCGAGGACAGGGTGAGTGGGAGGTGCGGCGGGGCTGCAGGCAGAAGCGTGGACCCCTGCCTGCACCCTGGGAGCTGGGCAGAGGGGAAGGACAGACGGGGGGACACATTTTGTCCCCAACGTGGGACCACAAGGCCTCCTGGGTCCCGGTGCAAGGCCAACGGGGCTCACCAACCCTCGCTACCTCCCCGCACGACCATTTGCCAGCAGCCACGCCTCATGGCCGCGCTCTGCCTCGTCGCTGCCTGCAACCTAAACTGCACCACTGCCTG